ACTTCATTGTGATCAACAAACATGCAATGTCACACTTGTCCTCTTAATCATAAAAAAAGTACTAAAAAAAAGAGGAAATTTTCAGAATTCCATCTTATTGCCATATAGAAAAAAAAATAAATCTATTTGTTCATTGGCCTTTTGAATATGTCTATATATATACGCATTTGTCTTGTCTTCCGATATATAGAAGTATCAGTACAGCAAAATCTCATGTCCATTTAATATACATATGAATATTGTAATATTTATAGTCATAGAAAACAACTGAACAGCTGTAGTTAGTTAGTTAAGTAGTATGTTTACTAAAGGGATAGTCTATTAAATGAAAAGTGTGGGTCGAAATAGAACATAACTACTATATCCTTCTATTCTGTTACTCGCTCACTTTGTCTTCTATCAAAATATACATATATATATATATATATATATATATATATATATATATATATATATATATATATACATCTTTTCCTACTAGTCATTTTTTTTTCGTTTTCAGTTTTTTCTCTCGCTATTTTCACGGACAGAGCTGTTATTGATTAAATTTGATATTATAAACGTATATAGTTGTATATTTATATATTAGTTAATACGGCTTGATTCCTGAGTCACTGCTTTTTACTATTTCTAAAATGTTTATTTCACAGGATTTTTCCCCATGGTTAATGTTAAGAATTATAACTGATCAGTCTCTGTGGACATTTGTCACCCCGAACGGATTGTCTCGATGTGATCATTAAATAATAAATTGTTTTATTGAAGTTAGATTGTGATTGAAGATGGTATCCACAACATGAATGCTATACTATTTGCAGTTTGTCAGCCTGATGTAGCTGGAACCTAATGCTGATGATCGTATTGGAACTCGAACTCAGTTTTAAAACATTGACGTTTATTTCAAAAGGTACTGTGTTCGATTCCCAGTGTCAACATCAATATTGGGATATACGAAAACACAGCTGACCAGTCCCAAATAGCAGAAAACATGCCATCTGAATTCCACTTCTAGTTGCAATCTAATATTATTAATAATCCAAGTCAATATAAAGATGATTAAGGGTTTGTAATTTAATCGACATATGTATATGTTTTTGTATTGCAGCCATAATTTTCATGAATAGGGTTTTGGACACCAATCGAAATAGTGTCTTCATTCAAAAAAGTGATTACTACGATTCTAACACTTGATATATCGGTTACAAACCATAAGATGGATAAAAATGATCTTATCAGAAGGGGTTTTGTGGAGATTTTAGAAATTTCACTGATTGAAATCATGAGCCAATTGAAACTAGACCACCATGGAAAACCTGGAAGCACTGGACGGGTTTCGTCAGCAGTGCGCACCCACGATCCTGCACCCCACGAGATTCGAACCCAGCAGCTACCAGTCTCGCGCCAGACACTTAACCAACTAGACCAGTGAGCCGGCATCCAACGTTGTTAATGTCTAACTTCAACCAATCCACGAAGTTCTGCCACCGTATACCATTGTCTTTAGTGAGTTGGTATCTCGCAACAGACCTGGTTGAACTCCACTGGTAACGGGTTCTTACTAGAACTCATGGAATATCTCTTGAAGTCAGTCACTAGTGAGCAGATGATTATTATCAGAATGGGTTTTGTGGAGATTTTAGAAATTTCACTGAAGCAGGATCGTGGATACGCACTGCTGAGGAGTCCCATACTAGGACGAAACGGCCGTCCAGTGCTTCCTGGTTTTTCATGGTGGTCTAGCTTGAATTGACGCATGGTTTCAATCAGTGAAAAATGGTTTTATTTAGTTTATGTCTAAGTGATTATACACATTGGAAGGATTTTAATCTATTTGTCATACACATAAATTGCCTAATTATCTATTGGAAAGGTTTACGTTTTCCTGTTATTTATGAAATCTCGTGATTAATCTTAATTATACATTCAACATACTGTTTTCTATGTCAAGAAAACCTGTGAATATTTGCATTTCTGTAAGCTAGATGAACATAGAACTATATTATTTTAACTAAAATTTTCATAGCTCTGCATGTAAACATTCTGTACAAATAAACATTCATATTTTTGCTTCCAAATACAGAAATATCTCAGCCAGTCATAAACATTGTGGAATCTAGCATATATGGAAACCGATTCAAGTAAGGCGATAGATGGAGGTAGTAGACAAGGAAACCAGATCGACCTAGGTTTCATGCTATATGATACTCGTTTGCATGATGTAACTACAATCTTGGGGGGGGGGTAGACTAGCGCTCCCTGGCGGATTCAATCTGATACCACACAGCCTCATAGTGAGAGATGTCACCACTTAGCTATTTGGAAATCGACTAACCTCCTGTAGACTGAGATATATACATAAAATTGACTGATCACTGACTGGTGCCCAAAATCATATATGTCAAGGCTTTTTTGGTTGATTGAGCTCGATCAGTACTAAAAAAGATTTGACATATACAACACTGGTCCCTGTTCAGTGTTCAATCGATTATTAATCGGTCAAAATTACCAAACCATATCAACGAACCCAGTCAAAATTAATTGTAGTATCAATGATAATAATAAAAAAGAAAAGTAAGAAATAAACAAAAAAGTAAATGAACTTATTTTAAAACACAAAATTTCAAGAAGGAGAAGGAGTAAAATTCATTAATTAAAAACTAAATTTAACCGCCTACTTGATCATCAAAATACCACTATTTGGTTTAAGCAATAAAATGTTATTTTATTATTTAATTATACAATAGTAGACTTCAACTAAATGATCTATATATGTTACTATCACTAGTACAAGATCGTATGGAATCATTTATCTAAATTCAGTTTGAACTATAATAAACCTTTAGTAATATAATTATTATTGTTAATACTTTCTCTCTTCCATTTTTGGCATTCATACTTAATCTTTTTTCTCTTTCTCTCTCTCTCTCTCTTTTGCCAATATTTCAATATCAAGTTCAATGTATTGTAGGTAATAATCCACTTTTCGGATAGAAAAATAATACACCGAATTCAACGAAGTGATCACTGAGATGATCGAGAAGATTTTTAGTGTAGCTTATCCACCTGAGCTACGAAGTGATCACTTTTCAACTAATTCATTATCAATCTGTATAGTTGTATATATAAGTAAAATGTTAATTATTATTAATTTTATAAGGAAATATGAGTAATGTGACAGAAGTTAAGAGTATTTCGTTGAACGAAGCTATGACAAATAGTCAATAACAGAAATTTATTTTCTGTATCCATAAATGATAAGATCCTTCGTTTGGTTGTTTCTATATAGATCTACAAGTTCACGTCTGATCATTGTCTGTGCCGTAGTCTTATATTATTATTATTATTGTATTTCACTGGTTTTGCATCTAAAAATTTCCCTCTCGTTTATTATTTCTCATATTTCCATGATTTTATTTATAATTGTTGTTGATATTACTTCATTTCATCAAATTCCTCGAATATCTTTAATTATTGTGACAAAAACATTTTATCAGTATAGAGTTGCGGAGATTATTAAGTTTTTGATTGAGATCGTGAACTGATTGATATTCGACCACCACTGAAAACCTAGGATCTCGCGAGTGGGATCGTGGATGCGCACTGCTGTGGAGTTTTAAATTAGGACGAAACGGCCATCCAGTGCTTCCAGGTTTTCAATAGTGGTCTAACATGAATCACTTAATGATGTCAATCGAAAACATTTTAATCATATCACTGTGTCCACATTATAATCCATTGTCAACTTATTAATTTTGAAAGGTCTCTTATTTGTACTCACCCATGCAAACACACAATTCTTTATTGTTATTATTCATATTACATAATCTAGTATTATAAACTTTCTATTATATCATCTTGTCTATTCATTGTCCATATATTTTCACAAAATTTAGAATTTCGCACACATGTACAGCTTGGTAATAAATGGTTGGAAAAGAGATCCATTCTCTGAATATCGTGCTTTTGACTTATAATCTTATCATTGTGATTTCAAGTAAAAAGCAAGTTAGGAAAAGAAACCAAGCAGAGTTGAACAACACATGAGCTTCCCTAAGATTACTGCTATTTTTGGATTTTTTTTCTATTTTTTCAGTTGAGTGATCTTTTCATATTGTACTAATGTGAAATATAGCAACTTGTATCCGTGTACATATTTGCTAGGTCTGATAGTTTATAACTGACAGAACAAATAGTATATAAATATAACACAATTCAGTGCAGTAAAATATAATTCCTCATAATTTTTTTGTTGACACAATAATACGCTAAGGTTATCCGTTTGTAAATTTTAAATTTCCCAACTTTGTTCATTTTGATGTTTGAATTTGTAAGTTTTTAATGAGACTGTTGCATAGAAACGACTTCTGAATGTATCAATATCTTGACTGTTAGCCTAAACCATTTATAAGGAACACAAAATCAAACTAGATAATCTTGTTGAGACATATTTCACCCCAATATTTATCAGTAATAAACTGTTTATCAATCTTATATTCACTTATATCATTACTGAATACTCGTAGATACAGTTTACTTTTAATTAAAGGCTCCTGGGTCATTTTTATGACCATAAATTTTATTTAGAAGAACAAAATAAACCAATTATGCTCAAAAGATTTCATAAACAACCAAATTAATACATTGTACTTACTGAAAAATAACAATTTGCAACGCCTTCAGTCTACAACTAATTCTATGAGACAAAAGCCTGTTACGGGGCATGCAAAATGAAATGCATTCCAATATGGAATTATCACAGAAATGATGATTTTAGGTAAAAACCTTAGTTAAAATATTACTGAATACACATGATATGCTCATTAAAACAGCAGAAAATGTCGAATATGTCTCAAAAGTGCAATGGGGTTATCTCACATTATTATTCTTATCATTACTATTACCGTTATTATTATTATAAGTCAATTTAACATGGATTTTTTCTATAAATATTTATGTTTGCTATAATCACCAATTAGTGTTCTCCTTTTTTTACATTCTAGTTTGTGAATATTATTCACATTATGAATGTTTGGATTTTGTAGCAGCAGATTGTAAACAATGTGCCACTTCTACATTGACTTCAATGGCCAAGGTGAATGACTGTGTATTTATTTTTGTTTTTTTCCTTTTTTTTCATCTTTCATGATTAATTTGAGTCAATTATGTTGTTTACTTGGACACCTTTCAACTAGTGAGTAGTTGAGTCAGTCAGTTAGTAAGTCACAGACTGGTACATATCCGTATCTGTCGAAGTTCCTACATCGCACCAGCACAGCCAAATGATGTTAAAAAGACAAATGTTAGTGTAGCATAGAAGCAATAGGGGGAGAAATTAGGCATAGATAACATGATTCGAGAAGAACTTATAGATTTCTGGATTAGAAAGCATCCACATAGGTGCTTTTGAAGCATTGTATATTTCGGGACCATCGAGCTAGAGTTTCTGATGTTAGACTTAGAAAACTAAATGAGGATAGCGAATTGATCGACGAGATAGTGAAACCGTATCGATCGAGATATCTGGAATATGTACTACTCATGCCTATTCACAGACTACTTTGATGCGCGATGATGGTTGATGTAGTTGATGATTGGAAGAAATCTGGGGAGACTACACAAAAATGTGGTATCAGTCCATGGATATACTGACTATTGGACTGATCCATGTAGTTACATGCAAACTGCCTTGCCGGAGTGCACGCAATTATAGTGACTAATGGTTAGAGACTTTGGTGACATGGCTTAAAATCATTTTCAGTGCACTGACCCTTTGTCTTTGTTTAGATCTTAGGTTTTGAAATTCCCCACGATTTTTTTGACCGATTCATATTTTGTTCTCGAATCGTATCTTGTACACCTTTACTGCTCTGAAATTCGCTCTGGCAATTTTATCTCGCCGTGCTAATAGACTATAAAAACTTGAACCGATGTACACATGTATCAGATTCTACATTGCGTACGACTGACTAACTATAGCTTTAAAACCAAGGTTTTAAGAGAAGAAAAACAAGGAGTGAATCTACGTCATTATGACCGATTCTCAGCCAACCTAACATCTTAAACTAATGGCTATTAGGACCGTTCAGACCTTCAATAATATAGTTATGATTTCTATTTCTTTGTTTTTGAAGAACAAATTCAAAAGTTTCAGAATAATTCATCGAAAAACATAAATATCTTTTGAAGTTTTAAATAAGTTTTCTTGTTTTAATTGTAGTCTCCAACATGCATACCTGATACAGTTGAAACAAGAAACTCCTATATGATGTCACGTTTACTGAAGAATTTTTCAAAATCGTATTCATCAAATGACCCTAATGATTCACTGCTTATTGATTTGACTGATAATGAATTAACTAATAAATGTATCAATAATATTAACACTACTACTACTAATACTACTGCTACTTCAGCTGTCAGTAATACAATTCCCAGTACTATGTTTACTACTAGTAGTACTAATACATCAGTAGCATTGATTTCTTATTCTTCAACAAATACACCTAAAACATCAACACAATGCACTGCAGAAATCGGTGAACTAGCATTATTAGAAGCTGTGAAAACATTATCATCATTATCATTGTCAGCATCTCCGCAAACAACTTTAGGAACTAGTGAAGAACAAGTATTGTGTACAACAAAATCAACAACAGATACTTCCATACCTCCTGTCAAATCTTCATTGATATCTTCACATGTACAACAATCACATCATTGGCGTGAAGGCAATTTACCAGTAAATTCAAAATGTGCATCATGTCGTAAAACATGTTGGTCTGCTGAATGTTTAACTGGTTTACGATGTGAATGGTGTGGTGTTACAGTGAGTGAGATTGCTTTTTTTCTTTGGTTATAGTACTTAACAATCTACTCTTCATGTATGCCTGTAAGTGGTTTAGAAAGTTGGTTAATACTATAATATACTTTCTAGCATTGCCAGTTAAATTTCAAGTTTAATTCAACTCAGTGGAGAAACTTTCAAACTATATTACAAACTTTATTTCAAGATATTAAGTGTTATCAATTGATTGATTCTTGGCGCTCTTTAGCTATTCTTGAGATCGGTTTGTATCCTATAGGAAATATCGATTACCTAAAGATAACCAGTATGCCTTACTAACAATAGACAACTAACGTGAAACCCAGGTTCATGGTTTCCAGCCGATTATTTCAATTATCTAAGAAGTTTATTTATTTGTATCGTCGATTACAACTTAAACTTATATCATGAATGTCATAGCTTTTTATTCTTCAATATTGTTTCAAAGGTAACATTCTTAATCATACATTTAAATTGTGTTTTTTTTTAAAATTTTTATTTAGGCGCATTATTCATGCTATAGAAATATACCGCTAGAATGTGATTTCGGTGTACTGAGAAATATCATGCTTCCACCATATTGTGTATCAGTGCCTCGTACAAGTTTATTGGTTGAACAAATTATTGGTATGTGTAGACCTCAACCAGAAACACTAATGGGAGGTAAGTCTAATGATGATAGCCTGATTCTATTTTTATACATTATTTTCTACAAATCACTGACTATACTACTTAATTACAGAGTTGTTTCCATCGGAAAATGGGAGATTTCCATTATTAACATGTAAGGTATTCAGAAAATTAATTATTTTATGGACTAAATTACAGCGCCCCCGAATGCTCTGGTACAGCCGGGAGTGAGGAGAGTCCGCTCTTCCTCTCGAAATGATCTCACATGGCCACGCGTATATAGCCTCTGCCAGGGAAGTCCTACTCACTTCCTTCTCGCGGCACTTCAATTGTTTACGAAATTGAGAGGATGAAAAGCAAATGTCCGGCGCTTTAACCGGGTTGGTAGACATGGAAAGTTCACCTAGGGGAGTTGGAAAACCCTCATTCCAAACCAATGATGCATATGAGCTACAGTATCCTGAATAAACAAATGGCGAATGAAGCAATCGTTGGTCACCGGCTACCATGCGAACGCATCTCCTTATATTGCTCTACTGCCTAGTGGGTCAGATCTTCGGGTTGAAGGCTCCGGGTGTGGCCCCCCAAGTAAACCACCTGCTTCGGTTTGGGCACCCGAGCAGTATCACAGCCCCCACACATATCAAATGAGATTTGTGTGGTGCATATGTATTTGGTGTCTCCTTGTACCAATATCTATGTGTTAAAATAAATAAATAAATTACAGCTACACTGTATTTTTAATTTTATGTAGTTTTGTTTTTGCACTTAATCAATACAATAACACTATAATTCAGTAGTCCATACAATAAATCATTCTAAGTTTTTATTGAGATAACAGGAAAGATTTGTGACTCCAGTTAACAAATGCTCCATCCTAAACGAGAATTAAAAGTCAATCTACTACACAGAAGGTTTAAATTTTGTTCGTTATCGGAATCGACTAGATAAATCACTCTACTAACTAGGAACACCCAATGATTATACTAAACAACTCAAAGAATACCAATACACTAAGTGTCAATTGTCGAGATTTCCTTTGGCTGGTAAAGTATTATTGATTTTTTAGCTGTGTCAGGATAGGTTTTAAAAAGTACATCACCGTATATTTAGTAGTAATACATTATCTGTGGTGTAGAAATTCGATGCCCATACTCTATTAAATATTATTAATAAGATGTTTTCAACTAGGGTTCTAATCTTTAGTTCCATAGTTAAGTTATTCAGAGAAGTACGCACGTATCTTTGTTTCCAAGTTGTATACAAGTTTTGAGGACATTCATTATTCCTTAGAATAATAAAAACTAGCGGTGGTTATAAATTTCTTTCATCGTGATCGATTATTATTTGTGAATTACTGATTAAGCTTCAACATTGATTTTGTTCAATAGAAAAAGTAACATACAAATGAAAGATCTTCCGTCAGTCAAATGGTAGATAAAAGTAGTATTACATTATTAAAACCTAACAGTTATGCACATTTTGATGTATATTTAGTTCAAAATCTAAAATACCAGGTCCAGAAGAACTAAATAGTAGATGAAGTCTTATTGTAACATACTTAAAGCACGTTACGTATCGATAAATTAGTTCGCCCTATGAAGTTTGGTTTTCAGCTCAAGTGATGGCCAAACTCATCGGTGATAGATAATAACCGTTGTTGCATAAAGCTCTTACCTTCATTGTAGAATGTATATATGATTGGCATCCCCATCCTATTTTCCTTAGTATCCTACATCTGAATTATGTGGGATAATTGCTAAATCAATGCTTTTCTACACTTAATCCCTTCAAAGGAGTAATTTGTTTATTGATTTTATGTTTCGAGTTCATTTTTGCTAGACTGTCTCTGACGTAATGATTTCATCTTTTATCAAATTTTAAAGTTCAAGCTCTCACAGATGAATTCTCAAGCAATGGTGATAGTCCAGAAGAATCAGGAATTGAAAGGAAATCTACCAAGGATAAAACAGATAGAGACTTCGATGGTACGTTAAATTGCATTTGTTTTACATATATGTTTGTGCTACTTAAATGATAAATAAGTAGCAAAAACATTATGATTGAGATTTTCGTAAAGCCGTGATTTATTTCGATGATGTACTAAGACGAAGATTATCAGAACTATGTGATATATTAGCGCAATACATTTCGAACAATCTGATGGTTGCAGAAACAAATAAAATCAAGTGACTCAATGAATGTAGAGGATAAACGTCCATCATCCTCTATTGCTAAACATATAATCGAAACGGGCCATAAGATTGATCTTAACTCGGCTTTTGTGGTGTTGTACAAAAGTGTAAAAGGGCGTATAGTAAGGTTTATTGAATCTTTAGCCATACGAAAATTCAAACTTCCTTTATGCATTCAAAAACAGCATGTTCTCACCTTAAACCTACTCTGGTAATATTGGCTTATTATCCAGAGTGATTAGGTTACAAATTGTGTTTACATTATTATTATTACTCATATTGTTATCCTTGGCTCATCTTACCCCAGTTCCAGTCTAGTTGACCTTTTATTTTTTTACATATAAATGTTCTTAACAAGTATTTGTATGATCAGATTGTTCGAAATGTATTACGCTAATATATCATCACATAGTTCTGATCATCTTCGTCATTTTATTACACTATCGAGATTTATCAAAGGGACTGATTGCTTTAAGTTTTTCATTTCATTCATTTTTGATTTACATTTATTACGACTACATCACATATTTTGGAACTGATCTACCCATCGTATTATATGTAGTTTGTTGTGTGTTAACTGACAGAATAAATTTTTCGTTTGCAATCTTGTCAACAGATTATGTACGAGTCTATGATGGCTGGGGTCGCTTTCGTAAGAAACAGTGCCGATACCTCAGTCTTGGTCGTAGTGTATCTGTGCTCAAAGTGATTGAACTTTCCTTGAAAGCTTTTCAGTTACCTCCGGATGAAGCAAGAGATTACTATCTCGTAGAGGTGAATGAAAAAGGTAGGACTAATTAATACCTATATATATATATATATATATATATATATATATATATATATATATATATATATATATATATATATATATATATATATATATATGTATATTTTACATTTTTGTTGTTGAAAATAATTCCATTTCTTGTCAGAACAAAAGCATAAATTCACCTATTTAGAAACTTTATTTGTTTATTTGAACACATAAATGTTGGTTAAATGTGGCACCGAGTACATATGCGCAACACAAGTCACTTGGTTTGTGTGTGCGTTGTGAGACTACCTAGGTTCTCAAACCAAAGAAGGTGGTTTTCTTAGGGGGTCACAACCGGAGCCTTCGGCGTAAAAGTCTAATCCATAAGACAGTGTTGCAACGTCAGGAGATGCAGTCCCACGGCAGCCGGTAACCTTTAGGTATCTTTAGTGTTAGTTTGTTTATTGAAATTCGAAAAAATCTAGTATTTCTCGAATTTGTAGGAAAACAAACAATGATTTTATCTTTTCACCTGAATTTTCAAACTACTTACTTACTTACTTAGGCTTGTTGCTCCCAATAGATCATAGGCCGCCGATCAGCACTCTTCAATCCACTCTGCTCTGGGCCTTTCTTTCTAGTTCTATCCAATTGTTGTTCACTCTTCTCATATCTATCTCTATTTCTTGGTGTAATGTATTCTTTGGTCTTCCTGATATGATCAACCACATAAGTTCTTAATGTATACCGTCGTGATCGTAAAATGAAGACATCTCATAGATCGCAAACTTATATTTCTAATAGAAGTTCATTTGTCCTTCTTATTTACGAATAGCCTACGAGGTCACAATATATAGAAACCAGATATTATAAACCCTCATCCTCAAACCCTACTTTATTTGTGCCTTTTAGTGGTCCATCGTTTCCTGTTCTCACGTCGGGGTTACCATTTTAGTGGCCCGTGGATCTGACTCCTATTTAGATCGTATGGATGTTTGCTATCGCCTTTTCTCGTATATTATCATCGACTTAAATCACGTTAGTTAATAACGGAATTAAATAAGTCGAATAACGAGAATTGATTTGTGAATACATATATTTTGTATATGAAGCGAATGAAACAGAGCAAAGCAAAATGACACTCAGGGAAGATGGATGGGAAGCCAACTCCATTTTAGTCTAGCGTTACTCAATATTTATAGTCAGACAAAATAAAGCTACAGACATGTGATTAATGCAATAAGAAGGGCACACACATATACGCTCATATAAAAACAGTCTAGATTGATAAGCGAATAAATAACAAGGTCAAAGTGTAGTAGAATGAATAGAATGGGATGTCCGAAAGCTAGAATAAGGTATGTGGGCTTAATATAATAACTGACACTACAGCCTCTGTACAGCACAATGGTAATGAAGTAATTAAAAACAGTTATTCACTCAATTACTTTCTTTGTTTTGAGGATTTCTTAGTTATTAGTAAATATCCTGGAGTTCAAATTGCACATCAATGAACTATGGCTTGGTGGTCTAGATGTTGAGAGTTCGCATATGATACCGAAGGTCTTCGGTTCGATTTAATATGGTTGGTTCATTGATGCTCACAACAAAGATGTTCCATACCAGAATACAACGACCTTTCATTGTCTACAGGTATTCAATGGTTGTCTAACTTAGATTAGTTCATGGTTTTATTTGTGTATTCTTAAATTTGTTCTTATTGGAAATTACACATTGAAACTAGGGTCTCAGAAATAAACTAAGCAACCAGTACACTTAACAAAGTTCTGTTGATATAAATCTAACAATTCTGTTTACTGAATTTTTTACATGTTAATGAAATTAATGGATAATTTTTGGTTTTATTTACTTGTTAACTACTCATTACTATTATTATTATTATTATTATTATTATTATTATTATTATTATTATTATTATTATTATTATTATTATTATTATTATTATCTAACTCAGATGGAAGTGAGCACAGATTGCATAGCTCTGGATGTTTCAAATCTCAACTACAGTTTGAAACTCGAAGACCACAGATTATAATACGTTCTCGTGATCGTAATCAAGATCGTGAATATATTCAAACATTTCCTGGAACATTAGAGTTAGTTTGTTATTCATTATATAAATACCTAACTATATTTTTATTATTCAATAATACTCACTTTATATGACACTGAGACCATAATAATCACAAATTACCTGATTCCAAATAGTGGTTGATTTTTCTACATCAACTTGTTTCAGTGTCAAGTGATTCTTTATCGAGATTTTTCTAAAATGTAGTTTCGTTTTCGTTAGGGAAGTCTCCAAATCATACCCGTCTTATTTAATGTCTATATGATAATTCCAATGGCTTCAGCTATATATAGGAGACGGGAACGGACTCCGTTGGGAAACGATGGAGGTATACGATAGATAACTCGAAATGATTTCGATTTATCTACTGCATGACCGCTATCAATAAGATATCCCAACTTAACCAAAGAATGAGTGAACATCTACGAACTTGGTACATAAAGGGCCAGAGAAAATCTATTCGCAGTTCTATATTGGCACATCTTATTGATAGCGGTCATGCAGTAGATAAATCGAAATCATTTCGAGTTATCTATCGTATACCTCCATCGTTTCCCAACGGAGTCCGTTCCCGTCTCCTATATATAGCTGAAGCCATTGGAATTCGTTCATATAACCCCAATTTATGTGTACAGAAGAAATACGTGACCCCCTATCCCTTCCATGGCCAGTTATAACTCAACTAACGAATTTTGTTTTAAATTTTTTTTATAAATTTTATTATTATATGATAATTGATGATATAGAATTCGACTTGATTGTATGAATAAACTGAGAACAGTTTGAACGACCCAACATTTCCAACTCAACGCAAATGACTTACTCAAGAGGCAGAAGGCGAAAATATCACACAATAAAATACAATTTCATTGCATACTTCACATATATGTGCGTTTCACCTCTGCAATCTGATCAAACACATTAAGCACAAAATTATTTGAGTAATATCAAAATAATTTGACCAGAGTGAGCAACTGAAAACAACCGGAAAGGATTGTTGAAGACAGAGTTATGTGGAGAATGCTGGTGGGCGGCCTATGCTTCTCCATAAGCGGTAACAGGAGTAAGTAAGAGTTCGTCCCTTCTGTTATACATCACTTTTTCAAGATGATTTCAAAGGATCCTATAAATGGGTGAAAAATGTTTTCAGTACTTATTGCTTTTCAATAAATATCCGATTGAAATCAGTTTGATCGAGAAAAAGATGAGGAGTAAATGAATCTGCATCACTGTGAATGATGATGATGAACTATAACACACTAATTTTCCAGCCAGCAATCGCTGCTACAGCATGAACCCTAAACAAGTAGTATGTATCTATCAACATGACCCAAACGAACAGTCAAGGATATGAAGAACTGATGCTGTCTTGATTTGGACGTCCCTAACTTTTCCCTAAATTACTCCTGTACTCTTGAACATTGCCCATAGATTTAGGCGGTTAATTTAGCTTGTACTCATCAGTTTTTCAAGATATAAGCGAAACAATTATATTAAAACGAAAATTACATTTTTGAACCAAAAAATTACTTCAACGTTTCACTCGGAAAACTAATTCGAGATCCGAATCGAAGGTAATCAACAGATGACCATAAACACATATCTTATTATAAATTTAGCAGATTTCTGGAAATTGTATTATTTTCAAAGTTAAATTTATGAGTCATCGTAAGCCAAATCATTATTGAAAACCCGGAAGCACTTGACGGTCGTTTCGTTCTAGTATGGGACTCCTCGACAATGCGCATACATGATCCCGCATGTGAGACTGGAAACCCGGACCTTCTGTCTCGAGCACAAACGCTTAACCTCCAGACTGGTGAATCGGAACTCGACGGTGTTAATGTCCAATTTCGATCGAACTCTGATCGTGTGCAACCATTCATCCACTATCTGAGGTGGATAACTGTCTCACACCCGACACGGATTGGACTCCACTGGTCACGGCTTCTCACTAGAACCCCAGGAAATCCACCTTGAAGTTAGCCACTAGTTAGCACATGATTATTAGCAATTTAGGGGATTTGTGGAGATCGTAATATTTTTAAAGTTAAATTCACGAGTCAATCAAAACTAGACCATCATTGAAAATGGTCGTCCAGTGCTTTCAGGTTTTCACTAGTGATTGACTCATGAATTCAACTTTGGAAAAAACATATCTAATTGTTGATTGTTAATAAATTAATAAGATTTTAAAAATTATTTTATAAAAGAAGGAAACACATTTCAGTCAAGAAAGACTAAACAATTGTTTTTACTATTCAGTTACTAAAGCACATGTGTTTAATAACGAATACCACCAATCATAATAAAAGTCCCTTTACTTAGATCAAATTACATAACATAAATTTCATATGTAATCTAGTGAACACACTGATGATGTATAGTGATGACTGAATATTAAACAATATGATATTGGTTGTTTTTAATATGACGTACATTTTTGTTTTGTTTTCATGAACTGAGTGATACATTTTTTAAGCAAAGATGGATAGTGGCTAGCAGTGGAAACCAGGACGCGCGTTTCACCCTATCTGTGACTTGTCAACCGGATGTACCCGCATCCCAGGGTTGATGTCCAATTCGTGACTCGGACCCAGTACCCTTCGCTTCAAACGCCATCGCGTTATCCACCTAGCTACTGAGTCTTGACAGCCACCTACTTGTTCTATGGGGTGAAGTTTAAATTCACTTCGTGTTGTTTTACTTGTATATTCCGATTGTTATTTAGGAATGCAATTAATCAGTCTCATGTTGGCATATAGGACGCAGGTACATCCAGCTGACGAATCCCAAATGGGACGAAACGCGCGACAAACTGGATTCCACTGCTAGCCACTACCCATCTTTGTTTAAAAAGCTTGTGACTTAAAGCAATATCGAGGCAATCCGCACAGGATGCATATATGCCAACATGAGACTGATCTATTGTCGTCCTAATTAACAATGGGAAGATGTAGGTTAAACAACACCAAGTGAATTTGAGTGATAAATATTTAATGTTTAATATTGAACAAACAATATATACTACATCGTTTTGTCTATATTATACTCAATGATCACTTTATTTATCAGAATTTCTGTTAATTAATTTATATACCTATTTTTTTCCGATAGTCAATTCACAGATGTTGAGTTGTTACCAATACAAATCTCAGTGACACGTGATACCACAGTTCATGATGTTATTTTACAAGCACAGAAACGATTTGGACTCGAGGTAAGAAAACTCACTTTTTATTAACATAATAAGGTAAAAACAAAAATGGTTGTTTATGATATAACTAAACTATTTATTGGCAAATGCTTTATTTATTAAAAAGGAATACCATATTGGTGACGACTCTGTCTGAGAAACTCTTGTTCACTTCTCTCACCTTTTCTATTCTCTGTAAAAGTCAAAATCCTCCCAAACACATTAAAAAAGGTTTATTTGCTAACTAATAGTCCAACTTATGTGGATTTATAGATGGTCTAAATGGTTCAAATAATGAACGTGTAAGTGCTCGAAACTGGTTGACAGTATAAAATTAGTATATCAAGCGGTACTTGACAGCAATCAGAAATAAACCTATGTTTAGTACTACAGGGTACATGTAAGCAAAATTTAACTGTTATCTTTGGAAAATCCATTCTTCCTATGAGATTGAAATCAATACTATCAAATATCACAGCCTAATATATATAACCAGTTGTCTATTCGGGCAACGAGAATGGCTTTGTGTTAAGTGGTTCTCATCAGTAATAGTCTAACTGTTGATTGTTCACCTTGTTTAATAATGGTATTAATCATGAAATCAAGGTACAAGATTTTCTATCTATTCCCTCTAATCACCCATCATCGAATGATAATAGTTGTGCTCAAGGAAAAATCAGTGATTCGATCATTTGTTTGTTTGTTTGTTTGTATGTTTCTAAGATTAAACCATTATTCTCTCATGCTGAATATTTCACGATTGATTTATAATATAAATGTAATAAAGAATAAAAAGTATTGTTAACAGTTTATAAATATGAATTTTCGTTCAGTTCACTTACTGATAACCATGACATAAAATATCTAACTACAAGGACAAAATTATTTCACTCCAAATAACTTCACCATTATAAGCAGAGATGTATTATAACCAGCCGTGAAATCCAGAAAGCCCATTTCATTCTATTTTCGACTCGTCAGATGGATGGATCTATATCCCAGAGTTGATAATCACTTCGGAACTCAAACGCAGTAACGTTCGATTGAAACGTTACCACATTATTCACGTAGCTACTGAGTTCAGATAGTGAATAGCTTATGAGAATTCTATATTTTACCAAAATATAATATTGAATAAAGCCATTAATAATAATAATAACAAAAAATTATCACAATAAATTCAGTTCAAAGTATTACAACGTCACTTAAAACCACCTTCATTCTACCATAAATGTCCATGCTGCACAAGCTAGCGGCTATCTGAACTCAGTAGCTAAGTGTATAATGTGGTGGCATTTGAATCTAACGTTACTGCGTTTGAGTTCTTCAGTGAACATCAACTCTGAGATGTAAGTACACCCAACTGATGAAACCCAAATAAAACGAAACGCTCGTCCTTGATTACACTGCTAGCCACCATCATCTCAGCTTATAATGTTTGTGACTGAAGGCAATCTGCACAGAATTTCACATATATCAATAAGACACCGATTAATTGCAGTCCTAAAAATCAGATTCAAACAATCAATACAAAATGAATTAAATTTACCATTGTTTTAATGTAGGATTCAATTTATTCAATTCAAAAACTTGCTTTCTTCTGATCTATCTTAATGATATTAATACATGAAGAAAAATAACTGTTGTACACGTCTATGTTCAAGTATTCTTTCTTCTTTCCATTTTGAATAATTTCCTAAACTTCAATTTTATTTTTTATCTCTGCTCAAGTACCTTGAAAAAAACACAAAGAAATTAGTTAGCAGTATAAGGGTTGTGGAGATTTGAAGTTTTGATTGAGATCATAAACTGATTGATGTTGGACCATCACCGTTTCGTCCTATTGTGAGACCCCTCAGCAGACATTGACACCATTGGATGCCGGCTCAGTGGTCCAGTAAGTTAAGCGTTCGCGCGCGAGACTGAAGACACTGGGTTCAAATCGCACGAGCGAGATCATGGGTGCGCACTACTGAAGAGTCCCACAATAGAACGAAACGGCCTCTCAGTGTCTCCAGGTTCTCAATGGTGGTCTAACATCAATCGGTTCATGATCTCAATCAAAAGAAATTAGTTTTATATCGTTAAATGAAATATCATAATCATTCACAAGATAATCATATATATATTCTCAATTTATTTATTTTAGCATTTAGATTCTGGTAGATTTCAACTAGTTGAAACAAATCTTGATCGTGGACTTGTTGAACGTGTAATGTCATCAGGTGAACGATTGTGGACAATATTAGAACGTGTTAAACGTGAATCTGTTCGTGCATTACGTTTAACACGTTTTTATTTACAACCAATTGAAGAATCTAAAGGTCCTGTTGTTACATTATTTGTTGGAAATTTAAAAAAAGGTTTAAGTCAACGTTTATACGAACGTATTCTACTTGAACGACTTGGTATAGAGAATAAATGGGATTTTATTGGTAAGTTCTACTTGATTTAGATTTTTGATACTTATTGGCAACAGTTAACAAAATATTATAGTATAACTAATGAATTAATCTTAGTTCAAACCATCTTTGAAAACCAAAAAATACTGCAAAGCTGTGTCACCTTAGTTTAGCACTCCTAAATAATGCGTATCTAGTAGACCGTTGGTGATCAGTCAGTCACTCAGTCAGTAACAACCTAGAACCCTGTACGTACGTACATCAGTTCAAGTTGCCATACCACATTAGCACAGAGATACAATTGTCGATTCAAATCCCATAGTAGTAGTGGTAGTAAAAGTATAAACAGTAATCGGGATGGCCTGTCAAAATCAGTGAGTGTACAAAATATATGTATGCGGAAATCTGTTCTCGTATTTGACGTATTTAATTCTGTTATACACTAACACGAGTTAAGTTGATGATTATATACAACGATAGGCAACATCTGTACCTCAATAACATTCATGCAATCCAACTAGAGTCAGATATCGGGCCAACAAAAAGACACGATTCACAAAATAAGATGAATTTAATGTGTATTTGGTTACATTTCGAAAGATTAAAAGCATCAGAAAACAGCATTCAATGCAATTTAAAGTTAACAGTTGCGGAGTCAAAGATATATCAATACAGGATTTTCAGTGAAATATTTCTGGAATGTACTTCGATAATGATTATCCAGGTAAATCTTCTCGATACAAAGATTCACGAGGATCCTAGTAACACAAAATCAATTCACGGTATAAAACTTAAATGAAAATCATTCGCGTACTTTACTACTTATTTCTCAAATCAAAAACATCTATGGATAGTGCTTTTCTAGTAGAATTGAAATGATCACCAATTATATTGGGATGTTGACTACTAAGTTATAACATTTAATGCTAAAGATTCTCATTATGTAATTTTGAACAAAATAATTCTATGAGAACGGCATTATTTGCAATTAATTACTGAATAATGAATTCATATGAATCTACGAGAAACATGAATCAAATCAGCTTACGATTCAATGATAACGTTGGAGGAAGGATCACGTAATAAATAATGATACATGTAGTAATAACTATAAGAATACTAAACTGTCTAATAACATAAACATATATATATATATATATATATATATATATATATATATATATATATATATATATATATATATATATATACTGATATAAGAAATATACTTAGTGTTGAATAAATAAATTTATCAAAGGAATTATCATTTAAAATTACACAATAAGAAATGTCTATGAATAATTAGTTTATATATATAAGTAGTAAGGAAAAATTTAAGAAAAAAATTGGATGAAAAATATACAATAGGTCGTATCCGGCTTAAAAATTGATGGAAATTTCACGAATTCCTTTTTGAATTTAGAGATAAGCATTGTTAGTTCAAATTCATCTAGCTTCTGATATACATAGGAGATGAGGTTAAATCTCATTAGTTTGATTACCTTTGATTTCATGGTAGTTTCAAGTTTAGATAGACAGTAATTGTCTTTTAACTTATTTATATCCTTGATCCACTAAGATAATTATTACAACGTTGTGACAGCAACAAGTTAATTAACTATCATGCAACAGACTTTTGTAATATCATGGCTAAATAAATTACTATGTGGACGATGACTGATTGCGCAGACTATTTCTGTCTCCATGATCAAATGCTAAGAAATGAGAAGATAATGATACAAGCTTATGTACCTGAAGATCCTCTAACTTAAAAAAATATACGACTTTAAGTACATAAACAGCCAAGCAACAACTCGCAGTAATTAAAAAGATACACAAATCACCTAGAAAACTAAAGCTCACGGTTAGGGGAGTAATGGAAACACATGAACCAACTGTTATATATTACGGAATAAAAATTATGAGAAATAATGTTTCGAAAAATAGGTTACACAGTTTGTCATTCTTCTTCATTTCTCTCGTTAGAGCAATTAAGAAAACCTTGAAAGTTTATAGTAAAACGATATAAATACTTTGCTCCAATCTTCGACATGATGACCATTAATAAAGTTTGACAGAACAGTATTACGGATTGATCTTGTTAAATCATTGTTATATTATGTACAAACTAGTAAAGAACTAGAACAACACATATAAGCGAACAATATTGTTTTCAATTAGATCGTCATCAGGCTTTACTCTAATATACATGAATATTTATGTGAAAATGTAAACCAATCAAGGCAATATGAGTCAATAATCCCAATGAAATAGAATAAGTCTCTACACATAATAAGTAAAAGTACAAGTTGATAGTAGGAATACAGGTGAATTGATAATAGTAAGAATAATAAAATACGATCACAAAACTCTTATCAATAGTTAAACGTTGGAACTAGAAGGTCAACCATGGGTAAATAGACTAGGAATAGTAATCACAAAACATTAAAATCATTACGTAATAAGATGTGTGTAAATAATTAGATAGTGAAGAATACAAAGAGGCGGAAAATTACAAACAAATAATGAATGTGGAAATAAGGTTAATGATAACAAAAGTAGGGTGAAATAAATAAATATTAATAATAATAATAATAATAATAATAATAATAATAATAAACCGTTAGTTAAGTTATAACTGGCCATCGAAGGGATGGGGGGGTTACGAGTTTCTTCTGTACATATAAATTGGGGTTATATGTACGAATTCATATGGCTTCAGCTATATGTAGGAGGCGGCAACGAACTCCGTTGGGAAATGATGGGGGTTTACGATATATCACTCGAAATGATTTCGATTTATCTACAGCATGACCGCTATCAATGAAATGTGTCAAGATAGAACTGTGAATTGTTTTTATCTTGCACTTTATAAACCAAGCTGGTAGATGTTCACTCATTCGTTGGTTAAAGAATTGTCAAATGTCATATGGGATGAATAAATGTTCTCAATTTAGTTTACGTTTAAAGAATGTAACCATGATTCTATGTAATCTGATTTAATCTAATCATTACATGATTATTAATTTCTATAACTGATATAAATAATCTATCTTCTTACTATTTCTTTCATTTTATTTATAGAAGTGATATATTATGATTTTGGCAGTTTAGTATTAGTTTATTTAAATGCAGAACGTGCTGATGAAGCATATCATTTATTAAAACAAAGTACATTTGAAGATCGTCCAATTTTAGTTATGATATTGCCTAGACTTAAACCAAGTAAATTACCAGATGATATTAAACCTTTATTAGTATTAGTCAATGTTAAATCAGGTGGATGTCAAGTAAGTTAAAATTATTAGTTTATTCATTCATTCATTTATACATTCAAAAATTAAGTTTGTAATCATTTTAGTTTACAAATATTTAATATATCTCTTCAGAAAGTACATTTCTGTTATAATATGTCAATTGAATGCTGAATTTTCTTTTCGATTGAATGTTACTTTTTATATCTGGTCGTCGATGATTATTGTGTCGGGAACGTTTATCATTTATAATTGAAACGAGGGACCTCTGCAATTCCCACGACACGAAAGTAAGAACACAAAGACTGGTATAAATGATGATGTATTAAACACAAAACACATAACAACGATTCTAGTAGAAAATACACTCATTTATAAATTGATTATACACCCATTTTGATCAATAATTAGGATGAAATTACATATATAAAAACAGTAAATAATCATAAACATATATGTATTATGGCTAGCTGTGGAATCCAGAAAGCCCATTTCATTCTATTTTCGACTCGTTAGATGGATCAACCTATATCCTGAAGTTGATGATCATTTCAGAACTCAAACGCAGTAACGTTCGATTGAAATGTTACCACATTATCCACATAGCCACTGAGTTCGGATAGTGAATAGCTTATGCAAGACGAATTACAACAAATAATTATCACAATAAATTCAGTTCAAAGTATTACAACGTCACTTAAAACCACTTTTTATCCCACCATGAATACCCACGATAGATATTTCATGAGCTTTATTATTTCTTGAAAAGAAAAAAAAACTGTGTTCATTGACTTGTTATACTTTACCGTGAAATTAGTTGAGTAAAATATTTGTATTTTAATATTTGTAAAAAGAAGCCGTAATGGCGAGACTGTAATTTATGGGCGAGCCAATCACAGGCGTTTAAGAGATTTCGAGGTTACGGCGCCAACTTCAGTGCTTAATGCTAACGTACGTTCGGTTCACAGGGAATTTTGTACAAAATGTAATAATTGAGCGGCTATAACAAATAAGACGGCGAGACTATAATTTGTGGACGAATCAATCAGGTATAAGTTAATAGGTCTCGGATTTTAACGCGAAAGCCTTTCATCCATTTGGCTAAATAAATTTCTGGCATTATAGCTGATGTCAGTTCGTGATGAAAACCCTATATATCATTCCTAACTAACGTGAATTGTGACAATTATTGCGAACTGGATAATAAAAGCATCAGTAACACTAGCTGCAGCCGGGTACAACAATATATACGGGTGTTTGGAGAGCGTACAGACTTCTACAAAAGCTTGGTTGTGTGCATCATGTCGTTATCCACAAGTAGCATTTTGTGCACTCAACAACCGGAGTGCACATAAACAATATTGAAGCTATGTGGTCGAGGCTGAAAGAGTTCTTGAAACTTTATCATGGCTCCAGAGGCCGACATTTCTGTAGCCATATGGATGATCTCCTCTACTGCACGCTTTACGATTTTACAACCTCGTAACCTCTTTCTAAGCTTGACAAGTTTTTGAGCCACATATAAGAAGTGTATTCACTTTAGTTCCTTGGTTTTGTGTAACATATTTTTACTCTATGCTGACAGTTTGCTGATTGGCTAACATTTCTCAAGGTCACTTAAGATTCGTTCAAAGGTCGTCCATAATTTAGAGTCTCGCCGCGGTAATAAGTTTCTTAAAAAATTTACCAAATGGCAAAATGGGAATTTTCACTATCTTAAAAAATTATTAATTTCTTTGTGTAGTAGAGCGTTATCAGTCTTAACCCATGATTATTGGGTTATGTCACGAAATGATCTTTGTCAGGCAATCACTAATAACCGGGAAACGCTGAAGAGATGTGACGCCCTAGTATAAAACTGTCAAACATTATGCTTCTATCGAGATCTTAAGGTCGTAGGTCTAAATTTGATCACTCCTCGACGTAAACTATGAAAAATGTTTTTTGTCCCTTAGTATAATAAGCTATTTTCCTGGAATTTTTTCTTGAAAGGGTGCCGATTTAATCACGTCATTTCGGAAACTGTTAAATCCTCACCAAGTTTTTAATTTGGACTATGGTGGTCCCCTACCAGGTTTACATTGTTTTCGTCATCTAAAACAATTTAAAATACTTGTATGTGGTGGTGATGGTACAGTTGGATGGGCACTTTCATGTTTAGATAACGTTGGTCAAGATGCTGCATGTCCTACACCACCAATGGCAATTCTACCACTGGGTACTGGTAATGACTTGGCACGAGTTTTACGCTGGGGTTCCGGTTATACTGGTGGTGAAGAACCTTTAACAATACTGAAGTAAGCGAAACATGACACAAAAGCCTTTGAATTTTTAAATGATATAAGGTTTAGTTTAGCAACATATATGACTAAGTGATAACTATTTATCTTGAATAGTTTTTACTTCTCCGCCAATGTCTACTCTTTAATTAAAAGCTTTTGGTGTTTAGGTGGACTTAATATCGGTTGCTTGTATCCCCATTAAATTGAGAGTCTCTCAATTAGGGAGGCATTTATTCGTTGAATTCCTAAAACTTGGCAATAAAAAAGTTAACTACTTATTAGTAGTATGAAATATTATTCTTTTTTATATGACTGATTCCGATCTGAGTAGTTGTTTATTAATTGTTTGTCGTATCTATTCTATATAGGATTGATTCAGGTAAAATCATATTTATTGCTTTCATCATATCTTTTCTTGAGTTATTCTAGTAGAACCTCAGCCAATTTCATGTGATTTGATTGCTTCATTAATGTGATTCATTTTATCTAGTCTGAATTGTGGATATTGAATTAAGATATGTGTGACTGTGATCACTTTTGAAAAAAGTCATTAAATTTGCAATGAATTAAGCATCTACCAAACATTTTTCCGTTTGAAAATTACAATCAAACATCGAAAATCGTTGAAAATTAAATAAGTTAGTATTATTATTACTAATGACTTTAGTCAATATGATATATTTGGTACAACATAAAATTCTCCGCACAAGGTATTTCAACAAGTTTCTTTCACAATGACAAAAAGAAAGAAAAAAAGATCTGAATCTGTTCAACACTTTTACCTAGAAACATGTTTAAGAATACAAGTTATTGACTAGGTCGGCTCTAACAGCCTGTTCGTCACAGAGTATATTTGCTAGATTAGGTATTGTAGAGCTTTTATACATTTTCCTGAATGCATAGATTCCAATGTATTGACGTCTCCTTCTACAAGAAGATAAACGAGGTGAACTATGTGAATGAAGTGGATGGCTAGTATTTGAAAACACCTGTTAGGAGTTTGCAAGATTTTAGATGTCTATCCACAACCATATTATTAATGACTCCAAAAGATTCATCGCACACCCTGTTAACTACCTTCGGCACTCTTCATAATACTGTGAATTATTTACTCAAAAGCTCGGAAGAGGATAATGGAGAACAGTAAAGAATAATGGATAATATGAAAGAGTCGATATATCGTAAGAGTAAATGTCGTTTAATCCCGAAAGCATGCAGTCTCTTTATATAGTAAGTCAGATGGAAAAATTTACACGATAACAATAAAATATGAGAAGACTAAGAGAGATTAGAGGAAAAACTTACTCCAAGTTCATTTTAGGATGTCTCAGTTGACAAACTATCTTTTAATGCCCAGCTTAATATACAAATATCCGATTGTTTTGATGAAAATAATAACAATGTCAATGAAACTAAACAAGAATTAACATACTTATTCATGTTTATCAATTTATGACAAAATCATTTACATCATAAAACCCATTTGTCAGCCAGACAGTTATAAGCAGCTCGGAACTTAACGCAAACACACACATTCATGAGTTTTAAATGATGCACCATATAAGTATAGTCAAATGAAATTATTATGATAATTCTTTTTTTGGAATAATACAGGTAGTTATATTATCATGTATGGTAACCAAAAGAATTTTCCCATTCATGAAATGTATGAATTTGTCACCAATTATCTTGATAGATTTATATTTTTCTCAAAAATTCCCCCCAACCTCCTCATTCTACCTTTATTTTTGTCTTTCCGTTATTATTATTATTATTATTATTATTATTATTATTATTATTATTATTATTATTATTATTATTGTAAATAGAGATGTTGTTGAAGCAGAAAATATTCGCTTAGATCGTTGGACTGTTGTAATTAAACCAGATCAAGCTGAAAAAGATGCACAAAAGAAACAATTACAAATTGAAGCTAATTCATCAAATACAAATGAAGATTCTAGTCGTATATTTGTCATGAATAATTATTTCGGTTTAGGTATAGATGCTGATTTAAATTTAGATTTTCATATGGCAAGGGAAGAGAATCCAGCAAAATTTAATAGCAGGTATAAGTCTAATTTATTTTGTTTTTTCTAAGTTGATTACATTATTTTATTATGGTACATTGATAAATTGAGTTAGCTAAATCTTCAGTATGGGGTTGTAAAATTGTTGAATTTCATTAAAATCATGAACCGATCAATCTTAGATAATCATTGGAGACCTAAAAACAGTGAGCGGCCGTTTTGTCCTAGTAGGGAACTTTTAAGCATTGCCACAGGACGCTGACCCAGGACCTTTGATCTCATGCGCAATCGCTTAACCCCAAGACCAATGAGATGGTATCCGACGATGTTAAGGTAGATGAACAACCAATCTACATTGTTGCGCGATCGTCTTTCATTGTTTTCGGCAGATAACTTACACCCGACACGCATTAACTCCACTAGGTACGGCTTCTCGCTAGAACTCTATAGATTTCCTATCGAAGCGTTCTGAGGTTTCACTATCAAGCAAAAGTCACTTAATCATTCTACAGACACAACAATGATAGTTATAACACCAAGGTAACTGAATTAATCATATCTAGTCACTTGAATGAAAGTGACTAAATGGATTAATTAATGAATAGAATTCAATCAGTACCAAACGACCAAATAATAACTACCATTTGTACTGAAAAATAAAATTGTAAATGAAAATGAAATCTGTTTTCCACCTTGTATTCAACAGTTCATTTAATATTCGTTCACGTTTCTGTTCTAAACTGATGATCATTATATCGCAAAGTGAACTGATATTAATCACTCTTATTCTATTTGAGAAAAAAACTTTTTTTTAAAAGTCCTTCTGATTCTAAACAATCTGACGACTTGACATTAGTTCGAAGTAAGATAAATATACATATATGTATTTTAGTCGGATTATAAAATACATACTACTATATCAATAAGTAGTTTGTTAATTGCATCAATTTTTTAAACTTATTCAAGTGTGTGTTGATGCATGCACGGTATGGTGGTCGTGATTCAATATAATCCTTAAATTTTGTATGCAGCTCGTCTTGACAACCGTCACTAGATAACGCCCGAACGGTAAATTTATCAGAAGGCGAATAAAAAATGTTGATTACGTTTCTTATGGGACCCACACACAGATATCCAAAATTACAGATGCGTTGAACAAGCACAGAAGAGTTGTGCCGAAAGGCAAGCAAGCAAGCGAGCGAGTGAGTCAGTGAATATGAGTACGGGTAAACGAGTACAATTCAGCGAGAGAGAGAGAGAGAGAGCAATGAACATGAATATCATGGATATATATATATATATATAAATGAATGAATGAATCATCAAGTCAATTAAGCGGTTAGTAGTAAGGCCAGCAGCGTGAATAAATGCTTAGTCAGGCAGTAAGCAATGCTCAAGCATACATGTTCATACATTCGCAACAATAATAAAGATACAATGATTTAGATAAGTTGTTGTTATACGGATGACTCAGTTCGTTAATAAGTTAACAAAATGACTTAACCGAATTTAATGTCAACCAACTCAATTGCACGTGAGTTGCTATGACGGCCTATGATCCATAAACGGTAATAGGCATAAGTATATATCGCATTTATTCAACGAAATGTATAGAATTGTTTTGTGTTCTTTTCAATATTTTGGTTACATCATTTCCTTTCTCCTTTCTTTTTCTTTCTTTCAACATAAACTAATGATCAGAATTCATAATAAAAGTGTTTACTTAAAAATGGGTTTACGTAAAATGGTTAATCGTACTAAATGTAAAGATTTACATCAAAATATTATCGTTGAAGTAGATGGTCGTCAATTGGATTTACCACCATTAGAAGGTGTAATTATTTTAAATATTTTATCATGGGGTGCTGGTGCAAATCCATGGGGTGTTGAAAAAGATGATGCATTTACAACTCCAACACATTTTGATGGTCAACTTGAAATTGTTGGTGTTACTGGTGTAGTACATATGGGACAAATATTTTCTGGTTTACGGACAGGTATCCGGTTAGCACAAGGTGGTCATGTAAGAGTATTTATTTTCATTTTATATATTTGCGTGTAACTTGTTTATCATATGAAAGTTTTATCTGCACAATTTATTTTCGCCTTATTCATATATAGCTATATTGTACTTTATGAATAGGTAACTGATGGAAGATTGAGATGATTCGATTTGTTTGTTGAATTAATTTAGATCAAGTAATATCAAGACTATTTCAGTGCTCCCTAATTTTCAATAATTTTCTAGCTAACCAATAAGACTTGGCGAATACCACCTATAAAAGCCTTTTGCTTTATTTACAATGATACCTACTTACAATAGAAAAAGCTTCGTATTTCTGTTATAACTTGTGCTCTGTGTCCTTTTTCATATATAATGTAATGATACCGCTAATTAGAGAACAGTAATTTACCGACCGGACCAATGACGCATAATGCCCGTATGAGCAATCCACAGTCCTTATCGGTCCCGTTTCCTTCTTAGCCCTGCCTGTGAAGTCTAGAACACCAATCTCAACCTCTGCGATATGAATCATTATATTTCAAACATACCGGGTTTTTATACCAACCACACAGACCACATCGTACAATAAAATAAGAAACAACATTTGTACAAGATTTAGCCAAATGTGGCCGTGAATGTGGGAGATAGTAATTGATAGACTGGGTATAACGCAAGAATGGTAAATCGTATAACAATAGTTCATAGGTGAAAATAAAGCTTATGATAAGAGTAACATGAATGTGAACAGTTGAGTTAATTAACAACTATACGATAAAAAATATACACATAGTATTGGTCCATAAATGGATCCCAAAAGTTACCATCCATTATTCTCATCGGGATATAACAATTTCTGAGTAAAAATTAGTTTGATTGTTGATCGTAGATCAAACCTGAGCTTCCTTTGCTTCTTACTATTTATTTATAAATGTAAAGTAGTTAGTAATAATTGATTAGTTGTTAAATAGACAATCGAGATTCTAGGAAGAAGTGGTTACGTAATCCTGGACTAACTTAAAACATACAAATAATGTTTTTTTAATTGTCAATAGTAATAAACATATTCACAATGAACTAATCTCTACAACTGTTCTCAGCTAGATAATGAATCTTTTGAAAACATGATAACTTTGATCTTTATTTATCATTATTATCATGTTTTACAGATAAGAATTACAGTGAAATGTGATATCCCAGTACAAGTTGATGGTGAACCATGGATTCAACCACCTGGTCAAATTATAGTTTTACGTTCAGCCTTAAAAGTAAACAAAATACCTTTTTTTGTTTTAATTATTGAAAAGAATTAAAAACTAACTGGACATATTCTTTATGTGCGTCAGTTTAGTATCAATTATACTTTACATTCTTCACTATTACAGTTTGATTTCATTCTAATAATCAACTGCTCACTAGTGACTGACTTCAGGAGAACCTCCTGAAGTTCTAGTGAGAAGCCGTCACCAGTGGAGTTCAACCAGGTCTGTTGTGAGATATCAGGTCACTGAAGACAATGGTGTTCGATGGCGCAACTTCATGGATTGGTTGAAGTTAGACATTAACACCGTCGGATGCCGGCTCAGTGGTCTAATGGTTAAGTGCTCGCGCGCGAAGTCAGTAAGTCCTGGGTTCGAGCCCCGCGTGGTGCGGGATCGTGGATGCGCACTGCTGAGGAGTCCCATACTAGGACGAAACGGCCGTCCAGTGCTTCCAGGTTATCAATGGTGGTCTAGCTTCAACTGATTCATGATATATATATATATAATCCTATTATTTGAAAACTCTTACTTGTTAACCTACGATAATGACAATCTAATTAACAGGATTATACTTTTATTTCAAGGCAACTATGTTGAAAAAACGCAAACGACGTAAAGTGAATCGTCGTCATACTGAACCTGGTTTAGGTGGATCTGGCAGTTCGAATACAACTAGCTCAAATGTTATACACGGTTGTACAGAAGATCCATTAAGTAGTGCTGTATTTGGTGCCAGTGGACCTCCTCCACCTGAAAGTGTAAATTATCTCGATTGTGGAAATACTAATACTATTAAACAACTTGAATTAGATATTGCAAAAGTTGAATTAGAAGAGGGAAATTTAAATGATGCTTTCTGTTCAAATGATACAATCAAAACAGATGATTCATATCCTAGACTGTATAGACCAGGACGACCAGTATATGCTAAAAGAAGAGGACGTCGTCTACCAAAACCTATATTAGTTGCAGTACCATCAGCTCCATCAGAAACTTGTAGATCACCGAGAGAGATACTTGATAATGATGAGTTCGATGAAACATCGGCCTTATGTCTTTCTAAATCAACACGATTCAAACAACATGTACCAACTAATATGCATTCAACATCAGATCAACAATCTCCTATCATACAAAGCCTCAAAAACTCTACACCTTCAGCTTCAATGAGTCAATTAGGTTCAACAACTAGTAAAAAGGAGATAGATTGATGATTATATCAAAACTAGTTACAGTCTTTTTGTTGCTTTTGGCATTTATGTAGTTGATTTCCGTAAGTTGTTTTTCACTTAAACTTCCATTAATTCATAACCATGTATGAGTATATGATTAAAATCTTTTTTCACTGAACTAATAAACTGTTTGTATAATATAAGATTGAAGATAATCTAAACTATTTAATGTATTTATGTAACCATTTTGAATAATCTGATCACTCAAGTAGGACTAGATCATAAAGACGTCAACATCTGAAGGGAAGCATGGGATAAGGTAGACATCTAGAACGCAGTTGGACGATTTAGACTACGCAGATGATCTGGCTCTTTTATCGCAAACGCAACAACAAATGCAGGAGAAGACGACCAGTATAGCAGCAGCCTCAACAGCAGTAGGTCTCAATATGCAAAAACGGAAAAGCAAGATTCTCCGATACAACACAAGATGCACCAATCCAATCACAGTTGACGAAGAAGATTTGGAAGATGTAAAAACGGTTACATATCGGGGTAGCATCATTGATGAACACAGTAGATCTGATGCAGATGTGAAGGCGCGGATCGACAAAGCAAGAGCAGCATATTTACAACTGAGGAACATCTGGAACTCAAAGCAACTGTCAACCAACACCAAGGTCAGGATTTTCAATACAAATGTCAAGACAGTTCTACTGTATGTGGGGGAAACTTGGAGAACTACGAAAGCGATCATCCAGAAGATACAAGTGTTTATTAACAGTTGTCTACACAAAATACTTCAGATCCGTTGACCAGACGCTATCAGCAACAACCTACTATAGGAGAGAACAAAGCAGATTGTAGTGGAGTAAGAAATGAGGAAGATGTGCTGAAAGTGGATAGGATACACATTGAGGAAAGCACCCAACTGCGTCTCAAGACAAGCCCTCCTATGGAATCCTGAAGGCTAAAGGAGGAGAAGGAAGATCAAAGAACACATTACGCCGGGAAATGGAAATAGACATGAGAAAAATGAACAAGAATTGAATAGAACTAGAAAAGAAGGCCCAGGACAGAGTGGGTTGAAGAATTCTGGTCGGCGGCCCCATGCTCCATTAGGAGAAGCAGGCGTAAGTCAGTATGTAGGGCTAGTGAAATGTCACTGGGCCCTAGCCAAACATACATCAGTCGTGACACTGAATATCCAGCAGTTCACAATCCTCATCGTGGTCAAGAACGACCAACGCGCATTAATTAATTGCACGCTATGGACTGGCTCATGCTGCAGAGGACTTTTTTTTTCGTTGCACCCACTCTTACTAATATCTTTATGTAGTAATATCGCATTTTGTTGCACGATCATCAAACCATCCATAATATCTGGATACGATGAGAGGGTTATGGACGTTAGGTACTAACCTTGATATATGGATTCGACATTAACTGATTGTTCATACTATATCCGTTTAAATCCGGTAGGCCTCCAGTCATTCGACATAGATCATTATACATTAATGATCTACACAGATATACATACTTGTTAAAAATGTTTATACGTGAAAAATTAAAAGGTCAACTAGACAAATTAAAGGTAACAGAAAACAAAGAAAATAAAGTAAATAATAAGAAGTACAATGTGAAACTCACCATGCCGGATAATAAAATTGCATTGATAGGATAGATTTAAGGTGAGAATTTTATATATACGCCCTAGACAACTTTTTACTAAACCCAGAAGGCTGATTAATATCATATTGATATGATCTGATTTCTCCGAAGTGTATTTGGTAAGTGATTACATAACTCAAAGGGGTATTGCAGCGTATATAGTGAGTATTAACCCCAAGATAATTAAATGGAATTATTATTTAAAATTGAGATCAATTTCAATTGTTTCAATTAAAATCTGATTAGTGGTGAAAGTCACTGGTATCGAGAATATAATAATCATCCCATCCAACAATCGTAGTGAATGATTATCATCTCTAGTCTAATTCTATTCGATAGTGGTTGGAAATGTTAACCAATTTACCGACTTTAATTCACCATACTTGTAATGTATGACTTGAATTACTTGAGTTTGATTCTTTGTGAGATCATGAATGTTCACCAATGGTAATGTTGATAAACGTAATAATCGGGGATCGTAAACCGGTGCTGATGTTTTCCTATTTTATATTTTTAACAATTCTCAAGTTGATCCCAGTTTAATAATAAAATTTAATCGTTTTTTCATTTTTGTAAGTCCAATTTTTGTTTAGCAAGAATATTATTAATATCAGTATAGGGTTGTAGAGATTGTTAAGTTTTTGATTGAGATTATAAACCGATTGATGTTAGACCACCATTAAAAACCTGGAAGCACTAGACGGCCGTTTCGTTCTATTGTGGGACTCCTCAGCAGTGCGCATCCACGATCTCACTCGCGTTATATATATATATATATATATATATATATATATATATATATATATATATATATACTTGTTGCTGTTGTCATCATGATTATAGCTTTTTTTTCTTATTTAACCATTTGTTTAGACTTCAAATACAACCACATTCCATCCGTACTAGTACATAATGATGGGATAATTTGTACTTGAGCAATAATTTATCTTAATGAATGGATAAATGAACATATCCATATTTGATGGACAAAATAATTGTATAAGCGTATTTTTATACACATGTAATACACTTGGATGATATATATATGGTATTATCAATTGACTTCCGAATACCTTTTCATGGTTATATGCTGATATGCAATATGTATTTGTGAAATATCTATATTATAAGTGCTGAACACAGAAATAGCACTGTTTGTAATCTCTCTGTGTGAATGTGTATGTGTTTGTAAACTGTGTGTAAACTTAAAAATAAGTTTGATAGTGTTATATAAACGTTTATATTCAATTAATTTATCCTTCTTTTGTGCAAACGATTTGTGTAATCAGTTGGTAATTGTTTTTCTATTATTATTATTGTTATTATTATTATTATTATTATTACTGATATTGCTGATATTGTGACTGTTTATTTTCCTATAAATATTATTGCCTAGTCTTTGTATACATATAATAGATGTATAGAGTGAATTAATTCTTTATATACAGTAGTATTCTCTATAAAACGTCAATTGTTAGTTCTTCCTCCATCAGCTTCTTCTTCTTCTTCTACATGTTCTTGCTTTCTATTAGTGATCATCTATTTTCATGAGCATTGAAACTATTAGTCAAGTCAATGTATACATCTTCATTATGTAGTATTGTGTTTACAATACACATACACACACACACACACAAAAGTATACAATATTACTTCTGTTTTTTTCTTCTAGTTCATAAAAGGATTATGTGCAATATTATTATGATTGTGTCGATCTCTTATTGATTTCACATTATTCAACTTCTTATAATATAAATAATGATTTACTTTATTCAATTCATTTTTTTATTGCTCTTATTCAATGAATGAGTGTGTTCTATTCTCTATATTCATCACTTACTGAATTAAAGAAATTAATAGAAGAAACATTAGACAATACGTATTTACATATTTTATATCTAATATTTAGTAAAGTTAGTGAAATCATTCCTTACTTGTTACTATGTAGACATAAGTGTAAGTGATCGTTTATTTTTTAAAATAAACAAACAGAAAAGAGAAACCATGACAATACATGACAATCTATCATAAATTGATAATTATATTTTATCATTCAATTTATTAGATAATCAATTTTACATCTTATTTCTTGTCATACACCCTTAGTGAACTCATTAAATTACTTTAATTCCAAAGTAAAAAAAGGGTGAAAACAAACAAACAAACAATGTGACAATAAAAATCCACATAGAGTATTTTTTTTTGAAAGAAAAGAAAAAAAGAAAGAAAATGCACATTTATTTTTAACAATTTATCTTATTGCTCATTTCACTGTGATTGTTCTCTTTTCATTATTCTCTCTCTTTTCTTTCTTTCTATCTCTCCTTTTCACTAAACGAAATTAGTTTATTTCAATAATTTTTTTGTTTACAATTTGTTCATTGATTCTTTTCAACTTTTTTTGTATAATAGTAGTACATGATCGGATATGTTATCATAGACTTAAAAAACAATAGCTGTTCATTGTATTCCTCTAAATGTATCTTTAATTGTTTTTGTTTAAGTTGTTGTTGTTGTTCTTTTCTTTTCTTTTTTTCTTTTTTCTTTCTTTATTGTATCATTTTCTTTCATATTTATATAAAATATCTATTTGTATAGTATTAACACAATTATAAGTTAAATTATAATTATCTTTCTTTTTAGATTGTTATTTGTTTTTATTAATAATAAAATAATCTATAATTTTTCTTTTATATTTGATTGTATCATTCAATATATAGTCATTAGTTGAATATCCATAATAAAATAGGCCTTAAATGGTGACTTCTTTGAATTCTACAAATAAACTATGTAAAATGTATTATGCCTTCTTGTATCTTGTTGTCATTATTATTATTATTATTGTGAGGTTATGGTGAGTATTCTTCTTCTTTTTCCTCTGTATCTCCTTTCGTTTTATATAATTTGAATAAACGTGAAATAATAATAATTATTATTATATATTTTTTTCATTCTTTTATTTCACTAATCATTCCATTCTACTAATCTATTTACTTATTTCTCTCTACTCTACTTTACTCTACTCTTCTCTACTTTCTGTTTCCTTATACTCTCCCATCTGCTCTCTCCTTCTACCATTCAATATCATGATTTCTAATTTTTGTTTATTTTAACTAACTATGTTATTGATATTATAATAATAATAATAATTATTATTATTATTATCATAATTAATCATCATAATTATAATTATAATAAATTATAGGACATGTTTATTAATTACAAGCACATGTGTGTATATATATATATGCATAAATATTTATTGATTTATTGGTTCATTGATTTATTGATTTATTTATGAACACAAATTGATCTTCTGTATACAAAAAATTCATAATGAATTATAGAAACTAATTAAAATGTATTATTATGTATTCGTTTCTATTCACTACAAATAATTAATAAAGAATAAAATAAATAAATTTAATTAAATGTATAACCTTACGCACATACACGCACATATATATATATATATATATATATATATATATATATATATACATTTATATCTGTATGCGTGTGTGTGTGCGTGTGTGCAAACAATCAACAACTCATTCTCATCTAACATACATTGAAACTATCATAGACATTAATATTATATAAATATTTTTTTTTCGGAGCTGTGTGCCATTTTCATAACATTATTATTATTAATATTATTATTATTATTATTATTATTCCTTCAGATAATTAATAATGATAACATTAGTAAGTGAATATAACATTAATTGTTCTATTAAAATTCATTTCAATAAATAAAACAAGAAAGAATTTCTATTTAAATTTCATTATTATTATTATTATTTTTCTTTTTGTTCTTGTTCTTTTTTATTTGAGTATAGTAACATTGTTTTAATGGGAGGGTGGGGGGGTGGAAGAGGGAGGTATGATGTGTTAAATAGAACGATTAGAAACAATGAAATCATTAAATAGATAGATAGATAGTTATATATAAATATTATTTTATATATTTATATAATTTTTTTTTAAGTTGGAAATTTTTAAACTAGTTAGAGACAATATTGTTTTATATCATTTTTGATAGAGTTTTGTTCTCTGAAAATTAGGATGGTTTGATAATGGAGCTTTTATTGTTATTCTAAATGATAATATTAGCACAAACTTTAAATAGAAGTGATACATTTGAATTTCTTCACATATGGTTTATACAAGTTGTCTTGTAGATTTCAATCTTAATTGTTTAATTCATTATTTTGATTTTATCTCCAATTGATTTGATCTTATATTATTTGTCCATGATTTTTCTGATTAGTTCATAAATTACAATGATTTCAATGTGTTTATTAATTGTTGACTGATCTGAGTCATAGTTCACTTCTACCTGGAGTTTGTGCTGATGACATCGTTTAGAACAACTACGAAAGCTCCATTATCAAACCATCCACTTCAGAGAACAAAACTCCATCAAAATCATCCACCTGAGCTACAAATCTTACCCACTATCTCATTGTTTTACATCAAATGAGTTGATAAATTATCATATGGATTTTATGTTCGCCGACCACTGTTGCTACCTTGACGTGATGGCCGGGCTTGCCTATCGTGATGAAACAATTGACCCATACTGGCTGGAAAAATCGTTCCTCAAGGTCCTACCATGTCAGACAAATCGGTTAAAGAGCTGTAAGACTAAAACCAGCAAACCCAAGGTCTGAGGGCGAAGTCGTACTGCTGACTGTACAGAGGTGTAACGGTAGTAAAGTGTTTCCTTCAGACAACCAGCATAACAGCTTTCCCGCAAGTGGGGTGGGGTTAGAAAAGGTCGACTATTAAAAAAATCGAGCGACAAAAGTTCCTATTCTAGCAGAGTTCCTCCTCCAACACATCGAAATACAACATTATCATGGTAGTGTGCACACGGTCCAGCAGTCATTTGATTGCCAAAATTACAGATAAAAGAACTTAATATTCCCATTTGTTGTAGCCGCTTAATTATCACGTCTTTTCTAAACCCGCTGTAAACCAACCGTACGTGTGCATCAGGTACTAAAATTGGAGTAGTGACTTTTAAATCATTCAAACGCTTCTGATTGGCTAGTCCATAAGTTATATTCTCGCCCCCTGGATCTACGTTTCGCGTTATTTGGTGCTCATCAGCAAGGTGTCCCCACAGTCTTAAGGGAACTGATGCCTCTAGACAAATTAATTTTCATGTTTTCCAGCTTCACAGTCAGAGATGTTACCGTCGAGCTTTCCGAACTTTGAATGGCCTTCTGACTTGTTCTAAATAATACGAAGTTTAGATTCATGATAGATTACCTGTAGATTACCTCCAACCACCCATTCATCGTAACACTTTACCATCAATGTGATATACTAAAATCGAGGTTACTTTCTTAATGACAACAGTTTGTATCGATTGATTCATTTTATCTTATAAAGTGTATTAATCAATAACTGTGTAGGATGTTGCTTTCTTCAACTTATTTCAAATCATTAACCATCATTTCTAGATAGATGTTAAATGAATATGAACAGTGAAATTCTCTGATTTTCATTCATCACAAATGATTCAGTCTTATTAGATTATTCACTTAAAGCAGTATATAAAGTAGCTAAACATTTAATTATATGTTTTAAAGTCATATTAAAATCACTGAATATTCGTATTCGCAATCTCAATTTTACGTTCAAAATTTTTACATTTATTTAAATTGAGATCATAAACTGATCAATCATAGATCATCACTGAAAATCTGGAAGTACTGGATTGCTGTTCTCTGAAATCTAGTGAGAACCTGTAACCAATCGAGTTCACTCACCGACAACAATGAAGGATCGTCGAGCAATTTCGTGAATTTATTGAAGTTAAACATTAACACCGTTGGCGTCCGCACGTGAGAGGGAAGATCCCAGCTACGAATCCTATTTAAGAGACCGAAGATAACAGTGCTGAACAGTTCCATACTAAGATAAAACAGCTGTCTAGTGCTTTCAGGTTTTCAATGCTGGTCTAACAGTGATCGATTCAGGATCTTAATTAAAAATTCAACAATCTCCACAATCCTATACTGATGGATATATATATATCTTACAATCTATATACATTATCGATTAATCGTCACCATGTTTATGACTATTGTTCATTTCAAATTTTTATATTTTATAACTTATATGAACATGTTCAATTTAGGTTTCGTTTTATTACCGAATATCATTGATTCTTAATGTAACATGTTCAATTCTTACTTAACTTTAAATGTTTATCCAACTTACATTTTGTTACATTTTACTTTAAATTTATTTGATAAAGAAACAAAAACGAAACTATCGGCATGAAACATTTTGATTTATGCCTTTTCTTCATAGACATTTTGTTACTTCTTCTATGACTTTGATATTGATAGTCTAGAAGAATTGTATTATCCAATAGATAATCATTTTCTTTCATTATGTTACTGTGTCTTATGACCTATACAGATATGATCTAATCTTGTCAAGTTCTGAATTTATCTGAAAAGTGTTAAAATGTAGCAATTCTGTTTAAGTTTAACTATTTTAGTCAACATCTTGATGAAACGAATTACTTCTATTACTTATATATCTCCCATGTAATAATTCCTTTTTCAATCATCTTCTAAGCTTAATTTATTTCAATATGGAGTCATATTCGATTTATCTACAACTGAAGAACATCTGGAACTCAAAACAACTGTCCATAAGCCAACATCAAAGTCAGAAAATTCAATACAAATGTCAAAATAGTTCTACTGTATGGAATGGAAACTTGGAGAACTATCACAATCATCTTCCAGAAGATACAAGTGTTTATTAACCGTTGTTCAAACAAAATACTTCAGATCCGTTGACCAGACACTGTCGGCAACAACCAACTGTGGGAAAGACGAAACCAGATCCTAGTGGAGCAAGAAATCAGGAGGAAGCGCTGAAAGTGGATAGAACACATATTGAGGTAAGCACTCAAATTCGTCACAAGGCAAGGTCTCACTTGAAATCCTCAAGGCCAAAGGACGAGAAGAGAAAGACTAAAGAATAAATTATGCCGAGAAATGATTGAAGATTTGGTCATTAAACCACTTAATTGTGAGAAAAATAACAGATGAGATTGTTGTTGTTGTTTTTCTTTTAATTATTTTACTTAACTAATTTAGGTATCCATTAGTAACATTAAGCAATTAATATACTAATTAAGTTTCGTTGATATATTTGTTTTTCTTTGAGGTTAATACTAACTTGAATTATGTATTTGCACATGTTTTTGATGAAGTATTGTTCTCTGAGCTGGATGGTTTTGTTGTCGAGATTTCATCATTCTCCTGAATAGCATCATCAGCAGCACAAACTCCAGGTAGAAGTGAAATGTTTGAATTTCTTGAGAACAACTGTATTTTCTCCTTGAGTACCTCCGTCAGCATGTTCTACCAACAAGTGTTAATTACAAACTTCTATCAACTGCCAATTGGGATAGAGAATAGCTGAGCAAAGTAGAAGAA